TCGGGACGCAACTCACGAGGGTGCCAAGTCTCAAGGCGCGTACATCGAAAAATCCATCTCACGTCCCGTGTGTCCCGGGGCTGGTAATCTAGCAGTCCGCTCGGATTGGCAGTCGTTCTCGAGTCTCTAGAGAGAGTCTATCGGGAGTGTGCATCGGTCACTTTCGAATTCTGGACCGCTGCGGCTAAGTTTAGGCTGAGCCTTCGAACCACGGAACGATCTTAAAGGGAAGGGTCGCGTTCGCGAGAATTTCGTCGCTTTCGCTCTCCACCGTACAACTCGCCGTCTATCTTGAAGTGTCCAACGCGGGGGACTGACTTTCGTCTTCCCAAAGATAGCGAATCGGTCGGACTTCAGCTTGGCCAAAACAGCGCAAGCCAGCCACGTGACCAGAGAGGTGTTTCCGCGGAAGTTGGAGGAGATCAAGTTGAAACCGTTACCTCTGCTCGTTGAGAGTGCACGGGCCAAGGCTAGGGCTAGACAACTGCAGCGTGAAATGGCAGACATCGATTTCCAATCTCTGAGAGACGCTCGTACCCTCTCCGAGGTAGAGAACGCCTTGGAATTTGGGAAGAGTCTTCGAGGAAAATCGGCGAGGGCGATCGGATTCCATTTGACGGCCGAGGCTTATAAGAATTTGAACAAGAGTAAGGAATTGGCCGATATCAGAAAATATCAGAAGGAGTGTGCCTCCTCGAGTTATTGCTGGGATACCAGGGAACATTTGAGGCACATAGAGGAGAGAACGAGGAAATTACTCGACGAGGACAGGCTCGCCGAACCGTTGGACAACCTGAGCAGGGAGCTGAAAGGATACGAGGAGAAGTCGAGCAGCTACTTCCTGGACAAGAGGTATCGACACCCGACCAGACCGAGACGATTGTACGGATGCCTGGGAATCAGGCCCGCTTAAAAGGATGGAAATTCTAGTAGATTAGATACCTAGCCGTGTGGGTAAGAGTAATGTGACACGGACCAATGGAAAGAATAAATGATAAAATATGAGAGAATCAATTGGATGTTTGATCTTCGGGAACTTGTAGATTAGATGAGATTCCTATGAGTAGTGTAACTAGTTCGAGAAGAAAATCTTTAGATTAGATTCTTTAGAATTTTTTTTTTTTTGAGATTCGTTGTTTTTTTTTTTTTTTATAGAATTTTTGATAAAATTTTGCTTAGAATATCTGCAAATTTTCATTTCCTTGTGCACTTTTGCGTAGAACAGCGATCATTTTGTTTTCAAATTTCATCATTTCTACTTTTGATTTTCATTCAAGTTTGACTATTTCTATATTTTATTTAGAACAGTTGAAAATTCGTACTCTAAATTATAGACTATCGAAATAATCATCATTTTTCTCCAAGCATCGAATGAAAAACTTTGAAATATATATATAATTAAACGCATTTTCCTTGTTACGTAAATACACTTTCCACTTGTGATAATATAGATGTTTATGCCACCCGTTGCCAAACTAACCATGCATCGAAACATCCAAGCTAACCCTGTATCGAAATAGGCAAAGCACGAAAAATACCTCGGCAATCTAATACTCGTTTCATTACTAAATACGTTACTGGTAAAATGTCAAATATCTCTAAACATGTTAACCTTGAATGCTCAACGACGAGAGGATCGCTCCTCGCAAGACAAATAATACCAACGAACAAAAGGTGTGGTATCTTTCGACAATTTGGAAAATCTTGGTGTTGTCACCTGGAAACAATAATACACCGTTGTGAAACCCTTTAAAAAACGATTGAACCGGGTGATCATCATACGGTATGTTTAAATACGAAATGAAATAAATTAGCAAGCAGACAAGTATCGAGATCGAGCAGCTGAACGCACGCGTGGTCGAGGCGGAGACGAAATTGAAGACCGAGGTGCAGCGCGTGAAGAAGAAGTTACAGATCCAGATCACCGAATTGGAACTGTCTCTGGACGTTGCGAACAAGAACAACATCGATTTGCAGAAGACCATCAAGAAACAATCGCTCACTTTGACCGTAAGTTGATTATATATTTTCGTTATTCCATCGTCCATCTTACAGATACAAGATAAAATTAGAAAATAACTAACATTTTTGCTCTTCTATACTTATTGCTATATATTATTGCTATATTAAGAATCGATATCGTATTAAGACTAATGACCAAGTGCCTTCTACGATCTAAACCTATTTCTATAAGTAGATAAAAGTTTCATCAGGCTAATAAAACTATTCGTAAGATATATTTTATTCGAGTAAAATAGATAAGATCGAAAATATTGAGTATTCGATTTGAAAGAGGATGCGTTCTTCATAATTTGTAATACTTTTTAAAAATTATTAAGCGAATTTCATTAAAAATATACTTTTTGGCATCCTTTTTTCCTAAAGAAAATGAAGGAAAATATCGAAATTTCACGTATAACTATCCTCTCTAATGAAAAAATGTCGAAATTTTACACGAATCCATACAATTAGCCACTTTCTAATTAATTTCAATGATTATTCTAAACGTTCAAGTTCCATTTTGTTCGCGTACAATCAATGCAAATGATATATATTTTTAATTAAATATTTTTGAACGTATCTGTGTTTATATCACTTTTGAAGTTCTGCCAAAATGATTGATTTCTAACTCGACACATAGGTGTATCACCCACCTGTGAATAATGACACCCTATCGAAAACTTGCGAGTCATCCAAATATGGGTGACAGGTGGCAGTCGGAAAAGATTGACAGTTTGGCAAGGAATTATGAATTTGAAACATGAATTTGTTTTGTAGGAACTCCAAGCCCACTATGATGAAGTTCAACGCCAACTACAGGTTACTCTGGACCAATTGGGTATCAGTCAACGACGCTTGCAATCATTGACAGCCGAGCTCGAGGAAGTGCGCGGCAATTACGATTCTGTGAGTTTAATTTATTAGAAATATTTAACATTTCGTTATTTGATATGATATTTTGATAATTTTCTAAAATGAAAAGTATTACGAGTGATCTTATTATCATATTTCGTTATTATCATTGTTTATAAATATAACAAAATATCATACTAAATCATGCTTTCGCTAATTGAATTTATCGACTTGTAGATCATTACAAATTATTTTAATCTTTTTTTGCATTCTTTGTTAAATTCAAATTATTTTTCTATCTCTCCTAATTCCCTATTTTTTAACACAATCTAACTTTTCTATTATTTTTTATTATTCTTAATTATTTTTGTTATTTTTCTGTCATATTGACAAAGAACATTATCTCTTTAAACTAAATAATAGTGTAGGAAAGTAAATTAACACTGAATAAACAAAAGAACGAAACAACAGACTTTTACATCGTTTAAGCTTCAATGGCCAATTGATTTCAGGCTATAAATACTTTGAACGATCGCATTGAATGGTAACTTTAAATATTCTAATCAATGACACAAAATTTAAATCCTGTAGTCGGCATTGAAAATTAAAAAAAAAATTTTAAATATTCTAAAATCTACCAATCTTTTCCAATAATTAAATTCTAAGATTTCCTAATTCAATTTTCACGATGTGAAGAGAATTTATCAAATATATTTTTTGCAGAAATATTTTCTAATTTCAATAAAAAATAAAATTCTCAAATTAACATCATAAAAAAAACAATCTAAAGCCAGATGCAGATCAATGATGCAATCGTTAGGATTTTGCATCTATGATGCCGAACGATTCGACAGATTTATTTCTAATGATGCAACGCACATAGCGTGCGACCTCGCTGTCATAAATATAAAATTATCGAATTGCACTACGTTTCACATTTAAAATATAAGACGTAATTACAACATATACGAATCTAAATTAAAATTATATCAATGACAAATCGATATCGAATTTTACCTTATTATTTATGTTCTCATCCATAAATATAATTTATTCTTTTTCTTCCATCTTCACACATCCTTATATCCAAAAGAATAATTCCTTTAACAATACTGTTTTAATTAAGGAAAAACCTATCTATTTATTCTTTCAATTTAAATCCTAGCAATTTTTCATTTTTCAAGACATATTGAGATATTGAAGTTCCACATCTTCTATTCGTTGAGTAAAGTTAAAAAAACTCTATTTCAAACAACTATTAGTAATATTAACAATTTCTCACGTTACGATAAACAATATAATTACAATACAATTTTTAAAGGCCCTCCGTGCAAAGAGAACCGTCGAGCAACAATACGAGGAATCGGTTAGCCGCATCAACGAGCTAACCACTATAAACGCGAATATCGTCACATCAAAAGCGAAACTTGAACAAGAGCTATCTACCCTGGCTGGCGATTACGAGGAAGTGACTAAGGAGCTGAGAGTGAGCGACGAGAGATACCAACGGGTACAAACTGAACTGAAACATACCGTTGAGATTTTGCACGAGGAACAAGAGCGTATCGTGAAGATCGAGGCCATTAAGAAATCCCTTGAAATCGAAGTGAAAAACCTATCTGTGAGGTTGGAGGAAGTCGAAGCAAACGCTATCGTTGGTGGTAAGCGTATCATCAGCAAACTCGAGGCTAGGGTGAGTTTCAATTTTTTTTCATTTTTATTTTTATTATTATCATTATTATTATATCATATCACATTATCAAATCTATTACTATTTCCATTAGATTTAATTAAAAAATATAATGTTTTTTAAACGAACTATCTAGATATAAGCAAACTACTGATGACGATAAAAGAGGGAAGTTTTAGTTCTATGAATAAAAATTCATAGAACGAAGAATGAAGTATTTTGCAACAAATATTCAATTTTTCATCATATAAATTCTTGATATTTCTCGAAGAAGTTCTATTGTATAACCAAACGATATAATACACTCAGACTTTCTTTAATTGTTTACGATTAATTATATTACTTCATTCGAAATTATCATTTCATCGACACGTTATAACTATTCGTTTCCATGTATAAAATTTAATATTATTCGACATTTTTCTCACAGATTCGCGACTTGGAGCTAGAACTCGACGAAGAGAAGCGCCGACACTCCGAAACCGTAAAGATTCTTCGCAAGAAAGAACGCAACATCAAGGAGGTGATGATTCAAGTTGAAGAGGATGCGAAGAACATTGCATTGTTGCAAGAATCGTTGGACAAAGCGTCCCAGAAAGTGAATCTCTACAAGAGACAATTGCAAGAGCAAGAGGGCATGTCCCAACAGAGCGTGACCAGGGTCCGCCGATTCCAAAGAGAATTGGAAGCTGCTGAAGATCGAGCTGACACAGCTGAGAGCAATTTGACTCTAATCCGTGCAAAACACCGCAGTTTCGTCACCACCTCCAGCGTGCCCGGTTCTCAGGTATACCTCGTCCAGGAGACGAGGTCTGACCTGTAAAAACGCCACCACCATCGACACTCCACCCTTCGCCACTTCGAATGTCATCTTGTCGTCTTTAGAAACGTACGTATATGATTAATCGTAATAGAGATTTGCTGTCAAATCTCCCTATTCGTGACCTATTAGCATTATATAAATATCTTACATCCACTACATAAATTTTAATTTATCCCCTTGATAAATAAAATATATTCTACAGACATACTATATTTATTATTATTCAGATGAACTATTATATTTTATCATTTAATTCCTTCTTTCGAAAAAAGAAAAACAAACGTCATTAAAATTTTTCAGATTAAAAGGTTTAAAAGTGTTTAAGATGGATGTGAAATTTAACTTGCGACTCAATAAACCCAATTGATAAGTAAAAATAATAATAAAGCTCGTATCTTTAAGATTAATACTTTTTTTACAAATATGTACAGGTGTAACGAGCAAACGAGGAAAAAAAGGAAGAGCCTCGATATATCATCATGAATTGGAAAAATCGAGGAGAGTTTTCACGGGTCGCATAGAGAAAAAAAAAAAAAAAAAAAAAAAAAA